AACCGACCTTCGAATCTCTTCACCCAACACTTCTACTCGAAATGGAAGTAATCCCAACAATTGAGAATTATCTTTATTACTATGGCAAAGGACATCGGACAATTTCGGTAATTTTGCCTCCCTGACAACACAACTAACTTGCAAAAACTAGGTCAAACCCCTTTTATACATCTAAATGAGACTGCGACTAAACTTGAGACCACACCACCTTAATCTTTATATCTGCGATGAATCAACTAGAGAAGCAAGAATATAGATAATGTGTTCAACACAGAATGATGCCTACTGACCCAAATTACTTATTTAATTTATTCACATTGTTTTGTACTCAGAAACACATGCAAACATTGCACTGAATATTAAACTAACACTCCAACCTTCGTTCAGATACGTACCCCAGGGCCGTAGTCCCGGTTGCCAACGAAGCAACATTATTTCCACCGTGGACCAATTATTCAACCAGGATTTGAAGTCCTCGAAAAACGCACTAAGCCTTCAAGAGATGACCGGCATTTTAATAATCATGTTTGTCGGCGCGGTCGTTTCTTTGGTGCTAGGCCTGCTGGAGTGCCTCCTTCGGATCAGTTTCCAGGTGAGAAATTTTACCAGCTACCCTCTTCCCAAGGGTTAGGTTAACCAGGCTTTTGTTTACTCTGAAACGATTTAAGTCTGAGTACTTTGTAAATAGTGACCCCGACGCCGCATATGCATTGACAGTGAGTAGCACTTTTGGCCGCTTGTGGGGTTGCTGAATATTTAATCAAACAGAAGAAACTGGCTCAATGTCCTCCCCCAAAACGGAATGAGTACACCTCATAATGCCTTGGCTATTAAACGGCTGTCTCATTCCCAGAGGACTGTAGATTCGAAAATGCCAGGGACTAATTAGCACCACAAATGGGATTATAAACTGGTCGCTGTTCGCATATTGCCAACAAACTGCCATCTTGACACAGCCATAGTTAGACGGGAATTTCAAAACGAGTTAAGCTCCTACCAATTCATACCTAAAGTAGGATTTTCAACAACACAAATTAGCAATTTCCACTAGAACCGAAGGCACTACTATACACGAAGTAAGAAGACCTCTAGACTATCCGTAATTCTTGAGTGTCTATTCTTATATATGAAAACCAAGTTGGTATGGCCTCTATTTTAATCTCAGTCTCTTTTCGCTGTACAAAAGCGCTTTGACCACACTTATGTAAATTGGTCGTGTTTTCAAGGGGCACTAAATGAACATACCTTGTCCGAAGTCCCCTGTCACAGTACCCATGATAATTTTGATCTTCAGAACCAAGCAATCTGTACATTCTTGGACATTTCTTCGGCATTTTCAGCGAGACATGTTGATCGTAGAACCAAGCAACAACTCAGGAAAGAGACCAGCAAAGTCCATTCCTTGAACAACCTTCTATTAACTACGATGCTGGTGAAACGTTTGGGAATCTACAAATTTATCTATCTTACGGTGTACAAAAAGTCTTTTGGAAGACAGTGAAATGTGAAATTCACTGACATCATGGGTGTGGTCTACTCAGTTACTTTTGGGAAAATTCAGCTATCAGTCATACATTAAATTAGGCTACTAAAGATGATATACCTTTATATTCAAGGCCCATAGATTGTCTTCAAGCCTACTCGCTACGTAGCTAATATTTTTGTCTGTTTTAGTTGCAAATACAAGTTTATCTCATCAATAATTCCACCATAGGAATGAATTGGAAGAGACCTGACTTGCCTTGAAAGTCACATGTTAGTGGTTATGCGTCGGTACTTGACACTCATGACCTGGTTTCGAATGTTGCTTGGAGGGGTGGTCAGATCCAGGCAAGAAAAATCTAAAATTTAAGGTTACGAGGGATTGGTAGTCCAATTTTTCACGTTTTCAAGTTACCGTTGAATTTTACATAGACTTGCTTCTCAAAAGGTATTTCCACTCATGGTGGACTGGACCACAATCTCAACCTGAAAACATGAGGCCTACCCATCTCACTGTATGTAAATTCAACTACCAGTCCTTTACCACATTTAATAAATAGGTTGGCTACAACTCCCATATTAGATCCACTGGCGGCCCTTGAAACCTACTTATAAAAAGAAGAAATCGATAGCTCCTTCGGTAAGAAAAATCCCTTTAGGATGCAAATCACTGCGAATCGTCATTGCATCCTGATGTATATTTATTACGGTGTGAGAAAATTTTACAAGACCTACCTTAGCTTATATAACCAAAGAAAATGAATATAAATGGTCTGATCACACTTTCGCAACTTGGTTGTGCTGTCAAAGGGTCCTTGTCATTACACTTCCCTGCCTCGGATCGTGAACGTAGTAGATTCCGAAGTTGAAAATTATCATGACTGCTATAGCAGAGGTTGCAGAACACGATGTTTGATCATCTAAGTTTCTCTAATGCCATGGCCAATTACAAAAACGAGGTTGAATTATACATGAAAACCAAGATGTTGTAGCCTCTGTTTTGGTCGCAGCCTCCTTTCGCTGTTTATAAGGTTGTCAGGTTGTCGAGGGGAGCTAGCTGGACAAATTTTGTCTGAAGCCTTCTGTTATAGTAATTAGGATAATTTCAAGTGTCGGGCCATGCTTCTGGTACATTCCAAGAAGTTAAACTACTTCTATCATGCGAAAATAAGACGGCTAAGAAACGAAGGCCCCACAATTGTGGTCGTAGTACCTTCGATTAAGACGGTGAAAGTTCTTATTTCAACTTTAGGATGGTCTCAGCAACTACTCACTATGTACCTAGAAGCCGGCGACCCCTTATCGGATCATGGATCCTTTGTGTCTTTCTGTCGTCCTATGCCCAATATACGGTTTTACACACATTCACAGACTCTCATTAATGTGTTTAGGTAGTTCTGTGATAGAACTCAATTTAAATATTTTTAACCTTTTGCCTGCCAGAATGGCTCAATCTTATTCTACATTTTCCTACATCCATCCAACCCTCACTTTTGTCTCATTTTTCATTTCTTCTCAATTTCTTCCAAACTCCCTATCACCCCATGAACCCAGATGTATTATGTAATTTCAAATCGTTATAAGGCGAAATGAAGCCTTAAGCTGCAGAATTTAGCAACACTTTCGACGCCTATTTGAATTGCCCCAGGAACAGCATTAAATCTACCGGCAAGTAAATGGAATACTTAATGGAAAGGGAATGCATACAAGTTTGCCCAACCATGCAGGTAGCATCTGGCCAGCAATAGAGAAGAGAGTCTTTCCCACAATGCTGTTAGATTTTGCCAAAACTTGCTATTCTCTAAGTTTTCCCATCTGAGTTGGCTTAAATTCTTCTATTTCGTCTAAGTCAATGAACCTCGATACTAGGTCGTGAGCAGCGTGGCGACCTGGTAACGCTCCTCTTCATGTACATTCTTTCCAGTGGTTTACATGGCAGATGTAAAATTAAAAGCAAGTCTCCCTCAAAAGCCAATTTCATAGCTCGATTGTTGATTGTGCAAATGTTTCTCTGCTGTTAGAATCAACTATTCTAGTCACATTCCATATGAGTAGGCTAAAAAGTTATAAACAGGTTCACAGAACACGAATCATTGATAGTTTTTTGAAACATACTCCCGTCTTTGATTGTAATGTTTACTAGAAAAAAAGGTGGCCAGCGGCAATACTACTTTCCTTTACAACTTGATTCAGCATTGAAGTAACTTGACCTTGTTTTCGCAACTTCGTCATATTGGTAGAAAGACCTACAGGAACGTATCTAGTCCGAAATCCATACTATGCATGATAATTTCCAAAGTCGGAAGTGGATATGGTACATCCACAGGCGTTTCGTCACTCTTACCATCTCTCTACAAGTGAATCCGATCCTTTGGCCAATTGTCCGCTAAACAATCGTGGTATCTCTCCTTCCGCCCTGAGCTAATCACCAATCCTATATCATCGTATCACGCCTTCACTATCACAATTTTTACTTGCTTATTTAAATCCAGAGTGGTGTTCCCTTCTAAGTAGCTGTCATGACAACCCTCCACACTCCACGCTGGCGTTCTCACCCCCATTCACCCTTGTGCTGGGAATGTGGATCGGAGTCTGACATATTGTTACGCAGTCATCCTTCCCTAGGTCTTATCACAGTCTCCCTCTTCCCCCGTAGAATCTGTCCGCTATCTCCCTGGTTCAAGTAGTTTACTCGACCCCTGCCACCCTATCTGTGCTCCACGAGCCGTTATTTCCCATACTCTGCCTCTGGAAGACTAACTTGAGGCTGAAGCCCCTGTGTAATTCTCATTGTCAAGCCTTTGCTTCACGTATCATGTATATTGTAAAACAGGCCCACTGTCAGCCAACTAGCTCCAGTCTCCGCCGCGTCTCTCCTGTTTCTAGCCCTAATACCAAGTCTATTACGTCCTATGCCCCAGTCTCTGGTGGGCCAACCCACAAATTATGTGGTTCAACATTGAATCTAATCGAGTGAAATACTTGAGCTAGGGAGATAACAGACGGACCTTACAAGGCAAGAGGGAGACTCTAATAAGACCTATAGAAGGAGGACGGCGTAACAATATGGCAGACTCTGATCCACTTTCCAATCAAAAGGGTGTAGGGGGTGAGAAAGCCAGTGTGGAGTGTGGAGAGTTCTTATGTGCCGCTCAAAAGGGCACATCAAATCACATTTAAGTGAGCAAGTAATAAATTGTGATAGTGAAGGCTTGATATGAGGATATAGGAATGGTGATTAGCCCAGAGCGGAAGGAGAGATACCACGATCGTTTAGCAGACAATTGGTCAAAGGATTGGCTTCACTCGTCTCTGATGCAGTTTAGTTTTGTGCTAAGACTAGCAACGCTCAATAACGCTCCCGATTATCATACCTGCGAAACGTTTGGGAATATATCGAGTCCACGAGCCGACTCTGGAAATCATCATGCATATTATGAACCCCAGTCTATGTGCCTTCCTTTAGGTTTTCCTACCGATATGACCAAGTTTCCAAAGCAAGGCCAGACAACCTCTATACAACGAAAGGAGACTGCGACCACACAAAAGGCCACACCATCTTGA